CTCTATATATAGTTTAATTGCAATTTTGTTTTTATTTTCCAGGAAAAAATTTCTAAAAGTAGCAAAAAACTCAACTAAAATATTAAAAATGTCTTGGCACTTGTTTGTGGGATTGTACGATTTTAATATTTGAAAATTATTGCAATATCGAATATCCATTTCAAGAAAAAATAATAAATAAATAATAAATAATCATTAAATAATAAATGAATAATAAATAAATAATAATTAAATAATAAATAAATAATTAAATAATAAATAAACATTTAAATAATAAATAAACATTTAAATAATAAATACATAATAAATAAATAATAAATAAATAATAATTACATAATAAATGAATAATATAATTTATAATTTATAAGAATTGTCTGTGATTTAAGGGGGGATATGGTTCCATTATTATGGGCTTATACACCGTCTACAGGTGACATTCCTTCAAGAGTTGCACAACCTTTCCTAAAAGAAAAATGTATCGTGCTGTTAAGAAAGATACGAATACACTTTTACGGATTAAAGATCCGATCCCTAGATTCATCTGCTGTGTGCTGCTGCTGCTGCCCCCTCAGAGTTCTGTTTCTACCTGCCTCCAAAGGCATCTCTCTCAGTCGAGAAACCATTTCCTCTTTGTGTGTGTTTCTCTCCCTACCTCCCTCCCTCTTTGTCTGTCTTTGCCGAAAGAAACATCTGCCTGCCCTTTTATGTTGTTGTTGCTGTGAGTTTTCTGGGCCTCTATTTGGGCCTCTACATTTCGTTTGAACATGGATGGTATGGAATGAAAATGGACAGTGGAGTGGACCCGACCCGACGACGGACCGACCGTTTACCTAGGCCTCCTCCAAAAACATTTCCTTTTCTTTTTTTGTTGCTGTTGTATTCTTTGAAATGTTGTAGCAAATGAATTTGGATTTTAATTTGATTTTTGCTTCTACCGGAAATTGTTTTTTAATTGTTGTTGTTCACTTGAAATCTGTGCAGAGCCAGAAGCAGAGCAGAGCACAGAACTCTTTCGTTGTTTGTGTGTGTGTGTCTGTGTGTGGAAATCTCAAATGATTTGTGGTCCAAATGCTGCACATAAATATTTATTATCTGCTACGGTTTCTCCCCCCCACACACTCCTTTCTATCATCCATGATAATCAGCAGTTTCTGCTGCTGCAGCGTTGCATTCCACTGCTCCTCGAGAGTTGATTTCTTTGTGCTCCACTTTTTATCAAGTTTTTGTCATCTCTTCTCCAATGCAAAAACAGACAGAGAGAGAAACAGACAGACCAGACCGCAGGGCGAATAAATATTTGTGGCTGGTTTTGTTTTTGTTTTTGCTTCTCCTTCTCATTCTCCTATTCTTCTAGCTCCCTCTGTTTCGTTTTTTTCTCTTGAAACCAAAGGCCTGGCCTCTCTCATCTACTGCAAAATCCCCTGCAGGCCAAATCCCCTCTCTCCACTCAACAAACATTCCTTGGCCCTGTCCTGCCCTGCCTGAGGTGTGCGACGGCAGCTCTTTGGGATATTGTTCGCTGCTCTCTCTCTCTCTCTCTCTCTCTTGTTGTTGTTTTTCTTGCGTGTTTCCATACTCTTTTTAGAGGGTATTGTGGCCTTTGGCCTAGCTGTTTGAGGGCAGCATAATTATGCACACAAATTCGATCGAAATTCCGCTTCAGCTTCCTGGATCTTCGAGGGTATCAAACAGCTCGAAACTTCAAAGCCATAGCCCTGCATTTATTTCTTGCATTTGTTTGTGAATTTTTTTTAATTTTTTTTATTTTCTTATCTTAGATTTCTTGCTGTCTAAAATTTCCCTTTGTTGGGATTTCTGTTGCAGTGCGAATCTTCTCTGCCATTCCCATTGCCATTGCTCCCCCCTTACCTTTTCCCTTTTACCCTGCCATTATTGATGAATATTCATATTTCCATGACGTTGCTGTCTGTCTGACTGGCTGTCTCTCCCTTTATCTCACATGCAAAATGTTATTATTATTAGCCCCCCTGCCCTGCCCTCTCTTCACACTGTTTCCTCTGTTGTTTTTTTTTTCTATCTCATCTCCCATTACAGTATTTTTTGTTCTTCGCTCTCCCCCTTCCTTTTGGTTTGCATCTGATGCTGAAATCTGAGCTTCCTGTTCAATGTCACACACATGCACACATCATGTGCCCTGCCCTGCCCTGCTCTGCTCTGCTCTGCCCTGCCACCTGCTGTCTTGCTCTAATTCCCTCTATCCATCTCTTTCGTTTCGCCTCCTCACCCTTGTTTCAGCCACTAAACACTTTGGGTATTTTATATATAATTAAATGAAATTTTACACTCGCAATTTGAGGTGACAACAACGTTTTTTTTTTTTTTTTGCAAGGTTTTTCTGTGCGCTTTTATTCCTCGTTTGACTTACATTTTCCTCACATTCTGTTTCAATTTTTTTATCTCACTTTTCTGCCTTATGTTCATCTCCCATTTCCTCCCTTTGAGGTATTTTTTTTCCCCATTTATTCCACATATTCCTCCCATTACTGCCACTTGTTTCTCGCATTTCTCCCTCATTTTCCTCAATTACCTCACAGTTTTCCCCATTTAGTTAGCAAACTATTTAACCTCTAATCTTTTAATGAAATGCAAATTTTAATGACAAAAAAAAAAACAAATAATAAAACTTAAAAAAAGAAAAAAGGTAGATGTTTCCAAATCAAAAACTAAAAAATAAACTAAATAGCTAAAAACAAAACTAACTAAAATAAATAACTAAATAACTAAACCACATTCTAACAAATAGAAGCCTAAACAACAAATAACAAACCTAATCAGGGGAAATAATGTACAATTTCCGTTCCAATATTTTAATTCAATAAATAAAATAATAATAATAAATAGTAATTAAAATATTTCTGACTTTTTCTTACATGTTCATATATAAATTGTATCTAAACTCTCCCTTTCTTTTTCTCTCTTTGCAGGTAAGCAAATGATTGCGTTTTATGAGGCCTGCCAACTCGATCCAAAACGATGCTTTTGTGGTTATGTGTGAGTGAGCCGCGCAGTAAGCTTAGGCAAAATCAATTTTGCAATATAACTTTGAGTAAAACTTAAATTGAATCAACAAAGGAAAGGAAAGGAAGATGATGCTTAGTAGTCCCCGTGGTGGGTAGACGTAGATCCCACCCTCTACCTCTACTCGACTCTATTCCTCTTAATATCAAAGCAGCTTGAAGTGGGATGCTCATCTTTCTTGTGCCTCTACTGTTTGGTCTCCTTTTCTTGTCACGCATCACTTACATGGGAACACACCACCCACCCCCCACCCACCCCACCCACTACTTTATGCCCCATGTTCCCTAGCACGTTGCTGCCATTTTCAATTTTGCATTTTAATAATAAAATTTTGCACAGCAAAAGACGCAGCCAGGCCAGGAAATAATAAAATAAAAAATAGAAAAACAAAAGAAAAGAAAAGTAGTAGAACATGCAAAAAAAAAAAAGAGAGAGAGAAGTGTGTAATGGATATAGGACCAGAGGAATACCTGGTATTATAGCAAAATATTTGGGTTTTTTTTTTACTTGCTTTAATTGCCAGAGAATATGTCACATTTTAATTAAAATTAAATAAGTCAGCTCAGTCTAACTGGGAGAGAGCAACCAACCTGAGTGTGCGATATGAGATCGTTCACGCCCAAAAACTACACCCAAACGAATATACCCTCAGCTCTCAACGATCACAGGGCATCCCCAAAAAAAAAGAAAAACTTGCAGCTGGGCAAACTTTTAACGCCAGACGACGTCGACGACGACGATGCATGATTACTTTGTTGATGATGACAACGACGTAGTGGAGGAAAAGCATGTGCAAGTAGTGCAGTTTTCAGTGGGAGGGCGGAGTGGAGTGGCAACATGTTGTCTGCGCCACAAAGTATGCAATAGATTTTGGCACGTGGCTTGCTGTTGGTCTGCTGTCTGCTTTCGACTTTTTCTACTTTTTTTGTTTTTATTTTTGGTAGTTTGCCTGCCCCTGCCTCACCCTTACTGTACTTGTTTATCATTTTGCTGCGTGCTGCCTTCAATTTGTTGCATGTTGCAACAACAACCCCACACCCCTTAATACTCCTCTAGCCCTTTTTCAATGATATTCGACTCACGTATCCCTCTGGTCTTGTTTTTATTTATTTTTCTCTCTGTTTTTAATTGCGTCTTACTTTTATATACTGCCTCTGCCCCCCCTACTCAATGGCTGGACCAGTGCTACGTTTCTTGTTCGTTTCTCTAGTTGTTCAGCACAAAAATTGTACGTTACGGAATTTAACCCGATGTTTACATTCATTTTGCTTATCGAGTGGTGCCTCTGCTCTGGCTCTGGCTCTGCTCTGGCACTTCTCTGTGCACTCTCACTTCTCTCTCCCACCTACTCTCGGAATTTTGTTTATTTACAAATTTCCGCTCGTTTTGCGGTTACTTTTTTGCTTTGGTACCCTCCTTTTAGTGGAGGGTGTGTTGTGTTTTTAAGAAGAGGAAAGACTTGGAAATTGTTTTACTAAAGATTCTTAATTGATTGAAAATTTGTTTTAAATTTTTTCTATTATAATAGAATATATATTTAAATATTTTAATAGAATAATTATTAATAACAATAATTATTGAAAATCAAAAATTGTGCTAAATATATTTTGTATGATTATGTCCCTTCTTTTCCAATTAAAATATAAATGGAATAAATATAACTTCCATAAGGAAACAAAAAACACTCAGGCTCCTCTCTCACTCTTACTCTATCTCCCAGTGTGTCTTCAGTTTCAGTTGCTCATAAATACACGTATTAGCAGGGTATCACATGCTCTAGACCTAGCCCTAAAATCTCGCCAGCACTCTTCTATTTTGTTTCTAAATTTCGATTGTTTTCGTGGGCTGATGCTAATTTTGATTTAGATTTCAGAGATTCCAGGTTCTGTTTTTCGGTTTTTCTGTTTTTAGCTTCTGGCTCAGCTTGTCGCTGATTTTTGTTTTCTTTTTCCAACTGTTTGTATTTTTCTTTCCGGTATTTATTCTGTTTGAGTTTGCAGAAAACATTTTCGCTTGGATAAATTACAGCCACAACCTTATGTGTCATATGCATAAATTGTACTTGTCTCTCCTCCACGCTCTCCTCTGCTCTCTCCTCCACATGATGGAGCACATGTTTCAACTTTGTAGGGCCCAGTCGCGTAACCCGTCCTTGGCCTGAACTCTGCATCAGAAATAACAAAAAAAATATATATGTATATATAAAAGCATTTCAAATTTCACACTAAATTGACTTTTGCTCGGCGCAGAAATTTTCGCATGCACAATTACATTCGCCATTTGCTACGGTCCCTCCTCACTCGGTACGCTGTAATTGTTTAAAATATTTCACAAATTAAATTATGCAAAAAGTGCAAACGTTTGACACATGGCTTTTGCTTGCTTTCTGCACTGCTGCTGCTGCTGCTGCTTGCTGCTGCAAAATTATGTTTGCGGTCAAGTGGGGATTTGGTTTTGGATTCGTTGAATTCCTACTTATTTTCCAGACTTATTTTGCAAGTTCTAGCAAATGTTGAGGCATTTCGGAGGGCACTGTTTTAAAAGAAATTAGTTTATCATTTAACAAAAAAATGTTTAGAATACAAAAAATATTTTAAATAATTTTTATTTAGTCTTTTTCTAGTTAATTTTTGTAAATTTATGAAATTTTAATTTAGTCTTTTTCTAGCTAATTTTGGTAAATTTAACAAATCAGTACTTTTAGAATTTATTTATATTTTTTGTATGTTTTGTAAGCCAAAAATTAAACTTTGAAATTGATTTACCTTTTCTGAAGGTGTCTGCTTCAGAATCCATGTAAATTATTTATACAGTCGTTTACCGTTTGCTCCCTGAAGTGTTGTGCTCTTGAAATGGGATTTCGTCTGGTTCTCGTCTGAGAGCTGTAAATTATATAACCCAAACCCCCCCCAACCCAGTATATTTGATGTGCAAATTATTTTGTAGAAAGTTGCCAAATATTTGCCCATGCAGATGAAAAGTGTAATTTGTTGTGCAAATTTTGCTATGGATGAAGATGAGGGTCCAAGACCCCAGACTCGCCAAACGCCCCTGCCCCACCTCACCTCTGTGGAGAAGAGTTCACTTTCAATTTTCAAGCTGCTCAGCTTTCCATGAAGAAAATCAGAAAGGGAAGGGGTGAGAGTGTGGGTGGTGAGAAGGGGAGCTGAATCATGTGTGTGTGTGGTAAGAGCAGGTGGAATGGAGATGTAAAGCGAAAATCGTGTAAGCTTCATGGACAATGAGCAGGCGGCCAATGCCATTGGTCAGCAGCGGCACCGGCACCGCACCGACGACCACCTCTTTTCCACACTTTCTGCTCTGATTTTCTGCCCCTGCCCCGGCTCTGATTTTCTTCACTTTCTGTCATGCATTTTCTTCGTATTTTCCTCACCATTGTGGCATGCGTTTTCCTCGTATTTTCCCCCCATCCCATCTCTTGCCTAATGCGCTTAACAAAGTTTTTGATTGCATTACAACATTACAACAGATATTTAGATGGAAAATCTGTGTATCTCTCTCTCTCTCTCTCGCCCTCTCTTATGCAATTTATTTAAACATTTGCTCGCCTCCTACGCTCTTTCGTTTATAAATTGCATCGATTATGGGATTACATGAAATATATATATAGTCGGTAGTCGTCGTGTCTATTTGTTGTCTCTTAGCCAAAAACCACACAAAAACATCTTGACCAAGAAAACAATTTGTTCCTCAATATTCCTCAAACTAATTCGCCCAAGAAGGAAATTTTAAGCCTACAAGATTAGCAGAGAGCGAAATGCACATATTTATGTATGATGGATGTAAAGAGGAAGGGGGTGGGGGTGGGGGTAAAGGTATAAGAAGAACACACTGCAGATTAAAGTTTCATAATTTCCAAGACTAAAGAAAGATAAAAGTTGTCAGAATCATTTAAATCATTTTTCATTTGATTTACAAAATACACCTTGGGATATTTACTCCGGACTTTTACTTACAGCTTCTGCTTTATCTTTTGTTTTAATTTATGCAAATTTTCCAAAGATTTTATTTTGTATTTTGTGTGTGTGTACCCTGGCATTCGTGGGGTAGTAACACGCAGAGGGTTGCAACCTGAAGAAATAATAAATTAAAAATATAAATCAAATGTAGTAAAAAGTGCCAGTAAATGTCTGTAAATTACTGGCTCCTTGGGGCTAAAAAAAAAAAACAACTTGAGGTTCGGTTTTCATACCAATTTTCCTGGAAATGTATCTGCCAGGGTATAGCATGGTTTATACGCTCTGCTTTTTGGCATTTCTTGGTCATTCCCTTACTCTTGCTGCGCTTTTATCTTATGCATCATTTACGGATTGTTTTGCTTGGGAAAATCCACATAATTGTTGCCTTAAATGTAAATGAATTTCAATTAAAATTAAGCAACGGCAATATGCAAATTTAAGTGTGTGTCAGAGCCGACTGTCTCTCCATCTCCATCCCAAACTCTGTCTCCGTCTCTGTCTCTGTCTCTCTGTCTCTTCGTCTCTTTGTCTGCTCATCTTATTCCAATTTATTTATGGGATCTGCCGAAAAACTTTGCTCATTCCGAATTCATTTTGAAGAAGTTCTCAGGCTGCTCCTCCTCACACTCTGTGGTTGACATTTTTTTGTTCACACATAATTCTTAAGCCATTCCATCGAACGATCGACCGATATATCAACTGATTAAGCAGCCAATTTCCATTCCAACTTTTCCACCAAAGTCAATAAATATTTATTTAAATCTTTGGCCAAGCAGAAACTTCATTTGATTCTAGCGTGCAACGGGGTACGGGGGGGAATGTTCAAATTAACTTTGAGCCAGTGAAGAGAAAATAGAAAATAGTTTTTCCCTGATATTGCTCTTAGAAAATGCACGAGAAAAAAAAAAGGTAGAAAAATATACCAACGGAAATGGGAATACAAAAAAAAGACTTTTGGCTCTGTGTTTTTCATGTTTTTTAAGCGCGCGAAAGCAATTAAAAAACTTGCACAATATTTTCTCATAAAACAAAAGTTGAGTCCGTGGAAAAACTAGCAGCAGCTTAGCCAGCAGCCCAACTGTAACTGTAACTGCGTGTGTGTGAAAACCAAATAGATGTGGAAACCTACCCAACACAGTGGGGATAATCCCCACTACAACTTGGCTTTGACCAAGCAGCAAGCGTTGGCCAAGCCAGTAGGAAAAAGTGCTCTAAAGTGTGGAAAAACAGGAAAGGGCAAACTAGGGGTGGGGGACAAAACAAATAGGGAGCTGCATTAGGGATCTCTTCCTTCCCACCTATCTGTGCGCTTTGCCCTTTTTTCGACTCATTTCATATTGATTAAGCTGAGTAAATCCATCATTGTCAATGCGGTTTGGTCTGGTCCGTCCGTCCACTATATCCTTCTCATTAGGCTTTAGAGGGGTCGACGGAGGTGGTGGGGGCTAAAGGGTCATTAAAAGCTTGCCCCCAGCTGGGGTTCCTCACATTTTAACATGTGTGCACAGAAGAAAAAAAAAATGCAGATGGACTCGAAACTATACACTTTGATGGGATATTATCATAGGAATTGGTCGATATTGCTGATAGATTGTCATTTAATTTTTAGAAAAAAAAATATTGGAAAATATGAGATTAAATACAGTGTAATACAAAAATAGAAAAAAGAAAGAAGCAAAGAAATATTTCTGTATCGTGAGATTATTAGAATCGGCAGAGATTATAAAATTTGGCCGGAGAATATCTTGAAAAAAAAAAAAACAGCAAAAGTTATACTACTAAAACTTAGCGGTAACCCATGACAGTTAATGTCAAAGTTTCGCCCATAAATAGGAGACTCTAAGCCTTTTCTTTACTGCACTGCAAAGCTCTTGTCAAAACCATAATAATCCCCTTTTGAAAGGGTATACAAAAAAAAAAAGAAAACCATTAGATGGTAGATACCAGATACAACGACAGAAGGAGACAGACTGACTGAAGGGAAGAGCACAAGCAGCAGGGAGAGGGTTAAATGAGCGCAGTGCAAAGAGAAGGCTGGGGAGGCAGCAAGCAGGTGAGAACTTGTGAAACAGAGAAGTGGCATGCCCCTGAGAGACAGCTCTGTGCAGACTGGCCAAAGGAGGGACGACGACTCCCTTCCGCTGCCTCCCTTCCTTGCATAAACTTGACTTAATTAGCTGCACAACTAACTTGGCTATTTAAACAGGTGCAAAAGAGGTGGTCGTAGAGGGGAGGGGGGTTAAAGAAAAACATCAGAATAAGATAGCAAATGGGCAGAAGATGGTGGGAGAGTAAAGTGAGGGTAAGGGAGATGGAGTGTAAATGGGAGACCAACCAAGGGACAATCGCAAGCAGCAGCAGCAGCAGCAGAGGAGAGAAGGAAAAAAGAAAAAGCCAGCGTCGAGTATTTTCATTTCCTTGCCATTTGCCTGCCATTTGCTTTTGGGCTTTGCTTTTCGCTTTCAAGTGCCGCAAATTGCAACTAAAATGCAACAACAAAACAGCAACAAAATGCACATGGATTTAAGCTACGTTTAATGAAGGACAGGCAGAGAAGGAATCGGGGAGTGGGGTGGGGAGGGAAAGAATGTAAATAAAATGCCAATAAAATTTTGGAAACAAATATTTGGACTCGCTTGTTAGATAGATTAAATCATGAATTAATTTGAATATTTCTTGAGTTTAGGAAATTAAATTTAATAAAAAAAAGTATTAAAATTGTGGTTTAAATGGGCATTTTAACACCGAGAATGAAATAATTCTATGGAAAGTATTGTCTTTTAAGGTACACGAAAAAATGCAGCAGCTGTCCTGAAACCCCCCACACACACACACAAGTGTAAAGGTTCCTCTACTAAATAGTGTACAAATCTCTCTCTCCTCTTTAAAATGGTCATCCCACAAAATACACATAAAATACAACACATTCAACAAAACATTTGTCAAGTCTGCGACCATCAGCGATATAAATGGAACTATTAAGCAAGAAACCCTCCTCTCCTCACTCCACTCCGCCTGTGTGCTAGGTATGCGTAGGCCGGGCTATCGCTAAAACCTAAATCACAACCGAACAACCGAAAAATTGGGTTCAATAAAGAGCAGCTTTATGGCGTGACATCTTTTCACAGGCCGAAAACACTCATGGGCGGGCCTTGGGCGAGCCCTGGGCTTACCTTTGGCCCTTATTTTGATGGTGGGGGCTGGGGGCCTATTAATATTATCTATAGTGCTACAAATAAATTAAAACACACACACACAAAATACGTGGGAATACTCCCATTAGAACTCTTGCAGTCACGAAGTCAAAGCAAAAGCTAATCTCAAAACCAAATCGCATTTCCCCCATCCAAAAAAAAAAACAAAAACTATTCCGCGTTGCTTGTGCGACACTCAATAAAACAAGAGATAGACAGACTGGACAGGAAAGAGAAGATGGCACTCGCAGAGGGAGAGAGAGAGAGAGAAGGCTGCACTCTGAACTACATATAGAGATGGATATATACCAGTAAACAGTAGTGGGGAGGCATCCCCAAAAGTAGAGCAAATGCATGACAACATTTTCAGTTGTTCTTCGGTTTGGTTTGGTTTTTATACCCGTACTCAAAAAAGAGTTAAGGGGTATATTAGATTTGTGGTAAAAGTGGATGTGTGCAACGCAGAGAAGGAAACGTTTCCGACCCCATAAGTATATATATTCTTGATCAGCATCAATAGCCGAGTCGATATAGCTATGTCTGTCTGACCGTCTGTCTGTCTGTCCGTCTCGATGAGCGCCTAGATCTCAGAGACTATAAGAGCTAGGGCAACCAAATTTGGTTTCCAGACTCATGTGATATCACACTGCTACAAGTGTATTTCAAAATTTCGCCCCGCCCCCTTCCGCCCACACAAAGGACGAAAATCTGTGGCAGGCACATTTTTAAAGATACGATAAAACTAAAAACGCATTATCGTAGAGAATGTCCATATCTACCAGACTGCCAAATTTGAATCAGATCGGATCATAATTATAGCCAGAATGAAGAAATTCATTTTCAGTTGCTTCCCCTCCCCCTCCCGTTCCAGACAACGCAACTCATTTTCCTTCTCGCTCGCACACTCTGCCGCGTTCAGTGCGCGAGCAACCCCTAGCGGAGGAGATGTAGAATCCAAATGGAACATGTACAATCTACATGTTAAATGTAGAATATACATTGTATATGTAGATGTAGATATCATATGTAGCAAAAAAATGTAAAATGTAAAAATTTTTTTTTTAATTCTAAAATTCTTAAAAATTCTACTGACTGAGTACGGGTATAAGTAGAGTCGCGTCTTTAGAAGCGACTCACACGTTCCTTCTCGTTTTGTTTGTTTTTGGGCATTTTTTTTGGCAGCTTTTCCATTGAAAAAAAAAAAAAAATGACTACCGACGACAATAAATTTTCCAACTGGTTTTTGGTTGTCTTTTTTCTAGCTTTTTTTCCTGCTTTTTTCCTCTCTTTTTTAACTTATTTGTTTTCCTGTTTTTGTTTTTTTTTTCTCGTTTTTTGGTTGTGCGTCAAGTGACCCACATTATTATTTGGGTTTCATGCTGCTGGCCAGGGATTTTGACAAGGGTTAAAAGTACAATTGTTAGAAACAAAAACAACGAAAGACAAAACCGCAGAAACAGCAGCAACAACAACAGCAGTAAGAGCCAACAAATAACATGACAAAAATTGTCACAGAAACAGCAACAGAAATCAGTGGAAAACAAAACAACATTTTCAATGTGGCACAGCTAAGAAGGAATCCTACTCCACCAGAGGTTACTTTTAAGAGGAGTTCGAGTTCGCTGTCTTCTCTGTGGTGCAAAAGTTTCTAGTGCCACCACATTTATTTTATTCTCTGTAGGTGGCACGGAGCTCCTTTAGTTGTGCAAGCTGCAAGTTCCAACCGGAGTGCGTATCGATGATTGTTTGGGGACTTTGGTCAAGTTTTTGGAGTGGATTGAAGCGTGGATTTGTGGTGCTTGGGGGAGAGAAGTTTTGTCTGCGTACAAAGATGCAGGAGAAGAGAGGGTGATCTTTATTTACTGGATGGAATATCTTTGCTATAAATTTTTAGAAAATATCTAAAT